CGCTTACTTTATCTCTCGTTTCTCGTCTCTCCATTTCTTTCATTCTTTTTTCCTTGTGTGTCCCGCTGGGTTTAAATTGAAGGACACCAGTACAGACAGACGTGCAGCCTAAGTTCAAGCTGAGTTATTTTAAGTCCTTTTTTTTAACTCATTGCTGTTATCTTTTTCTCAGAGTTGCATTGGTATTAGCAATTCTACATTTGTAAAAACCAAGAACTGACAAATTGCTTCAAGGAAACTAGAATCAGTGTCAACTGAGTCCAGATAATTAGAGTTTAGAAATCACAAACTGTAAAGCATTTGTAAAGCATTAACCTTTGTTGCACTTTGTCCAATGAAGCCACATTTTCATAAGAAACTGCTCAGAAATGGGCTTTACAGTCCCAGAATCCTATTCCTGTTTGAAACTATTTTACGATAGAAACCCATGAGCTAACCATGTAGTTATTTGGTCCTCGGCATATAGATGTGCTGCTTGTTAAGTGAGTTAGACCTTGTGATAATCGGCTGATCCAGTTTTTAACTCTCATTCTCCTCCTGACCTCATCTACCAACCCCTCTCATCCCTAACCTTTCAATCCCATCAGCCTCACTGTTGCTCAGCCACCTATGACTATGCCTGGGTGGTGGCCTTTGACCTGAGAGGATTGCCATTAGAGCTGAAAATCGGGGGGAAAAAATCAATGGCATCCAGGCAGAGGAGAAGCAACTGGACTGAGAGTTTTAGCCCAAGCAGACTGGACTCTTCTATGGAGTCAGGTCGCCACACCCAGTATATCTAAGCAGCTTCAGATAAAAGGCACAGATCATTAGTGAATGCTTTTTGGGGTTGATTTCTCTCCAACAGGATATGGGGATCTTGGAGGAGAGAGAGAGCTGGGAGAAACAATGGAGGTTGACAGATACTTTAATTAGCCTGAATCTCTCCTGTCAATGCGGTGGAATGGTGTAAAATTTTCATCTGTGGGAACGCAGAGAGCAAGCAAAGAGGACAGAAAATACAAGGACAATTTTCAAGAGAAAAATAGAGGGGAGTAGATGGTCGTACACCCAGAGGCTGGCCCAACTCAGCAAGATCTAAATATTCTGCACCAAATAAAATATCCTCTCATGAGACCATGAGTTACTGTTGAAGCTATGAGATGCAACAAATACACATACAAATAGGGACAATAACACACACAAAAATTCCACCCAGGAAGCTTATCTTGTAAATTGTTGGCAGTCACTATATAAAATGTGGAATTTGGGGGGGGGGGGGGGCTTGAGAAGTCACCCTGTAAATGAGAAGAGAAAATGTTTCTATGGTGGGATAAATTCTGGAGCATTTATGTGGGTGGTTCTCAGTGGAATTCACTCAGGAGTGCACTGGAACACGTCACTGAAGATAGTGCAGGATTCTTCAGTTTCCCTTTCCTGCCCACTCTTTACCTCCTCCACCATCGTACTTATCCATTACATCCTTTACACATCCCCCCTCTGTTCCTCCCAAGCAGTCTTGTCTAGACTCACGATCGTTTGAAGAGCAAAACACACCAGAGTTAAGCATTAAAGTGTTACGACAAGTAGCTGCAGCAGGGATGTGAAAGACATAGGGAGGAGAGGTGAGGTTGCTGTGAGGATTATGAATCCTCCCAGGTCCTCCGTCTCTCATGGACCACTTCTGCCCTGAGGGCGGGGCAGTAAAAAATGCAGAATAGAGCTGAATATCAAGAGAGCCATGTGTCAGAGACAACTGAGTAATAAGATTAGTGTCAGATGAGCATCACATTTACTACAACTAGATGTTTTTAATGCATGCATCCTCCCAATGTTATGCTACCACTCTGCCCTCCTCAAAAACACACAAAAGTTTGTACTATGAACTCACTGCAGTGATTGTGAGTGTGTCTGGATGTTCATCTCAATGCTGGCTCAGCAATGGACTCTCGACCCGTCTCAGCAAATGCCGAGAGGCATTGTGTATGATGCATTTCTGAGATTTTGCATTATGAGATTTGATTTGGTTTAGAAAGAAATGTTTTAACAAAGCTTGTATGCGTCAAGTGTGTTTGTGTCGGTTGTCAAAGAAAATGGGTTTTTATAGGTGAGTTTGTGTGCATGTGTGGCAAGGGGAGTATTAAACTCAATGTCAGTGAGTTGGGGGCACATTCCTCAGTTGATTTAGTTGGCATTAAGATGAAGAAGAATGTGTCAAAGCTGGAGAGACTTTAGTCCACTGTGGTTTAAACTGACTGGGAGGAGCTCCAAGGTTTCCTGACAGCCAAGTTTGACGGATGACTGACACTTGGCTTAAGGTGAGAAGGATGGAGAGCAGAGAGGAGTGGAGGGGCAGCAGGGAGAGGTCTGAAACGAGGGGAGAGGGAGCTGTGCTTTTGGGAAGAAATATGAAAAGTGTGATTGAAGAGCACAGTTTGCATTTTAGTGAGAGAAAGGGAGATTAATGGAGATATAACATTTCGGAGAAGTTTTAGTGTGGACTCAAAGGGCATGAAATGAGATAAAAGAAAGAAAGAGCACTAAGTCCAGTCAGGAGAGGAGGGGATGCTGCCAGGAATTGGGATAAACAGAGGAGAAAGAACGTAAAAAAAAAAAGTCACACACACCAGAGGGGGCAGAACATGAGAAAATAATTACATGAATCAAAAGGATTTTAGAAGCTTATCTTTATTTGCCCAAGATGGTTTGATAGTTGAAAGAAAAGGAGACGGAGGGAGAGAGAGAGAGAGAGAGAGAGAGCGATAGAGAGAGAGAGATAGAGAGAGTACAGAAAGACTTTTCTTTAAGGTCCCATTTATACAGCATCGGTCGCTGGTTCAGTTGTGCAACTTTGACGTGTCGTAGATCAAAGAAAAAGCAACACAAGTTCATATTCTTTCTCATTTAAAACACAGCTGTAACTTCATAAAAATAGCCAAATAAGACTGCTGCATTGATCCAATGTTACAAATTTTACAGTGGTGCAAAAGCAGAAACTACAACATCAGACAGAATCAGCCTAAAAGCGTGGGCTACAAGGTGTACGTGTTTGGGTTGAGGATTTCTTCAGTCCTGAGACAGTGTAAGCATATTAAGTATAGCTGTGTGAGTGTTTCAGGCTCTGTGTATGAGGACGGGACTGATAACACTACTGTGCCTTTGGAATACAACAGCTCACCCATCAGACAGGACTGATTCAGGAAATAAATAACATTTCTACTAAAAAGATCCACTTGTCCGTTTCTTTTACCAGAATGCACCATGTAACGACATTGTAAAATCTTAAAAGATATCTTTGAAGATTTTGCATACTTTTTTCAGTGTCAGCTAATATGACTAAAACCCTCTAGTATATAATCCTACCATCAAGTATTTGCTGTGTATCGAAAGTCTGATGTAGCTCATTCCTCTGAGCCACAGTTGTCATAAAAACTTGGTCACACATCAGTGAAACACAGAGCCAGCTTCAGGACAAGTTATTCATTTAGATCAAAATGAGCCGGACAGTCCATGTAGAAAAAGCTCCACACATTCAAAGCAGGGATCACTTTTGCTGGCACCTCAATACCCCGTCTATTACTACTGAGGCACTGGGTAGGGCCCAGAACAAAGACAGTTACTTTTTATGGTTTACACTTTTCACTGCAAAGTCATTGCAGTACCACGATTTAAGAAGTCCTTAGTACAAACGGTTCATTAAAAGCAAGCTAAAAACTAATCAAACAATGCTAAAATTACACAAAAGAGAGCAGGTCTCAAAAAGACACTACGACCCGAATTCTTAGGTTCCTTCCGTATATCCATTTGTGGATAAAGAAGGAAGTGGACATCCAGCTTGTTTCTGCATGTACAGATTCATACTGACTGAGATGCAGAAATTCAGACTCCATGCCCTATGTAGCACAGATTCATGTTTGCACACATTTACAGGCAAAACTAAATGTCAACATGGAAGAAGAGAGGAGGGGAATCTGCATGATTTCAGGCATTCTGAACTTTTCACACACCTACAACTTTATTTCAAGACAATGCAATCTCTATGTTTCTGGAATTATTCTCCAGAGGCAATGTTGTTTCACTCATTAATGACTGGAGTTGGCCTTCATTCTTCTTGTAATTAAGAAACCCAGTGCAGTGATGTGTTAAAGTTTTTAGACAGTGCTTGAGTTCGATGAAACAGAAGAGCTATATGTTGCTTTGGATGCAAAGACAATACATTGTTAGTAGGATCAATTCATTGTTGGCTTTGGTCTTTTGAGGCAATTTTTCAGCAACGCAAATAAGAAATTTGATCAAACAAGTGTGCATTTAGGCATTTCAACATAGGACAACCTTTATAAACGACCCAACTGGTATCAGCAGTAAACGCATTTTTAAATCAAAGCAACAAAAATCATCTAATAAAATTTCATTAAAAAAAATACAGAAACAGCCAAGAAATTATTTCACTTTATACCTCTACAGCTACAACACATTGTAAGAAACAGAAGTCTGTTTAGTGCATGTTTGATATGATCTAGAGGATACCACGTGCAGCTACAGTGAAAAAAAAGGGCAAAAGACATCCAGCTAGCAAAGAAATCCTCATGCCGTACGTAAACATGACTTTTCTTACTCCGCGTTTCCTGAATTTATTTATATCATTCATAAATTACTTGAAAGTGCAGACATCGGTTCCCATCAGTCTGGCATGCGTCATATAAAGTTGACACACTGTATGCATGACTCATTTACATTTTATGATGAGTTACATTATCTCTACCTTTGCTCTGATTTTTACACCCCTGCATGGTTTGGACATAAAGCTACGTGACAGCACAGATCAAGTCAAAGTGCACGAGGCCAAAAGAAAGAAACGCGCAAAATGCAAAAAAAAAAGATAGGAAATGAGCATTCTGTTATGGATGTAAAATCCACATTCTTCAGCCCACATCCGCACACCCCACTAACCACCCAATCGTTAAAACTCTGATGCTGATGTTGCACGGCCCTGCTGGTGGGGGAGGGGGGGGGCCCACATGTCAGACCGTGAGGGAGATGAAGCTGTTGTATCTCTGGATGTTCCTCTTGAGGATCTCTGAGCACGGCCCGAGAACGCGCTCAAAGCGAGGCCTGTCCAGCTTCACACACTTCAGGGGTCCTCGGGCCACCACGGTGGCTGCCCTGGGACGGTTCAACAGCAGGGCGATCTCACCTGGGTCAAGAAAGAGGGCAAGAGAGACAGTTAATGTCAGCAAATGTGCTGAGTTCAAGCATATTTGGAAATGAGAAAAACACTTTGAAAAACAAAGTCCTAACCCTAACACTACATTCGGAGATACAGTGATAAAACTTTATTTAAAACAGAATGTCAGATAACTTTTTTTTTTTTTTCTTTTGAAAACCGTTTTGGAATTTTCTTAATGAATCATTTACGGATTAACGATTAAAACCTGTTATATTCGTTTATAAACATTTTATAAACACCTCAGTAAGCGGTGGGGTGAATATTTGATCTATCATAGCTATTTCAATGTTGTTTTGTACATAACTCTACTTGCACAGTTAGTATTACTAATGTTATATGATTGGAGTCATTTGCATGAAATACACAGATTTTTCAAATGATGCCAAGACGAGATGAGAAAAAGGCTCAGAGAACACTAACCAAAGTAGTCAGAGGGTCCAAGGCGTCCCACCTCCACATACTCCTCGTTATCAGACCGGCGCTGCAGAACAGAGGCTATTCCCTGGACACAGAGAGAAAACAGACAGTTGAATGAAAAGCAAAAGAAAGAACAGGATGAGAAGGAGAGGCAAAAAGGAGGAGAATGTGTGTGAAATAGACGCAGGTGGGGGTGGTTGTGGGGCAGACATTTAGGAAGGGAGTGAAAATAACCAGGAGGATTAAGTTGAGGAGAAATTCCTTTGCTTTTTAAGAACACAGGTGCACAGGATTTAGTCCACTTTTGTGAGTGACAGGCACCTGTTGCTTGGAGCAGAAAAGCTTTCATTTATTCCATGAGCGAGTACGACAGCAAAATCAATTATTTCTGCTTTTTTTTTTTTATGTGTAATAAATACAAACATCTAAGCAAATTAAAGGCTGAACTAATTCCACAAAGTCTTCGCCACATATTTCCCTCTTTTCAGAATTTACCCATTAAATGGGAACAACTGTATTGTCCAAGAGTGAGTGAGTGCTCCTGGCCCTAAGTGACCCCAGAAAACGACTGCGCTTTTGCACGAACACATAAATCTGCTCTAATACCATGTTGCGAATGGATCATTGTCCCTCTGCCTTCCCAAACACACGCTAAAGAAAGCACAGCTGATATCTTCAGAGGAGAATAACTGGAGTTCGTGATCGTCCGTGCCAAGTGACTGTTGTTGTGGGGGATATGTGAATCAACTCAAAAAAGGGAAGGGGCAGAATGAAGGGGAATATGCTTTCCATTTTCTCTGCCCAACAGATGACTACAGGTTATGCTGTCAAGCTTTGCAGCTGTTGTCGGACCTCGAGTGTGTATGAGAATATGTCTGAATATGTACTTTTCCATGGGAACTGCAAGACACGTGCGCTTTTAATTGTATACGACCAAATGAACAAGTAACTGCCATGTTTGGCCTGCTCATGTTGACAGAGGTCGAGCGCGTTGGCATCCAAAAGCTGCTGGGATTGATGACAGGTAAGAGTACAGCGGGGGGACTTCCAAGCTTGTCTTGGATCATTGCAGACTTGACCGTTCCAACAGTCTCACACTATTTCTAATCCTTCTCTGCTCTTTCTGCTCCTTCTGCTGACTTAGCTAATAATTCTAAATATGAATATAATGAGCTTTAATGAGAACCCCAAAGCTGCCAGGAACTTAGTGGAGAAAGACAAAGGTAAGACTGTGTTTCAGTGAAGGGGTCATGTGTGACTTTGTGAGTTTGTGCTACAAATGAGCTGTGGAGAGGTGGAGGATATCATGCAAGTAAGAATACTGTGCGAGTGTCCTTCCCAAGCTAGTGCCGTGATGCAATTACCACATCAGCATGACGCAGCAGAGTGAATTTAGCTCTTACGTATGGGGTCTCCTAACTGCTTTAAAAAGAACCAGGCTGTAGGTGTAGACTGAAGGTGATTTTAGCTGAGGGTGACACACTGAGCACTGCCTTTAATGGCATATCATTTGCTGCACCTTCAGCTGCATTTAGAACTTAAATACAAAACGTAGTCATTTCAGTTTCAGCTTATTTTAAAGCAACACGTCTATAATCAAAGAAACAATTGCAGAGATGACATGATCAGTCTTAATTCTTACTATACAAGGTCATCGGCTGACACTTTAAACATGGTAAACACATTATCTAAAAGGATAACACACAGAAAGACAGAAATATATCACAAAAAAGTCTTATTTCTATTAGATGTTCTGGGGTTTTCCTCATCATCTCCCATCAACTGTAAAATGTTATTTTAAATCTTTAACCAAATCAAAGTGCAGGGCTGTTTTTTATAAATAAAACATTAAAAATATACAGCAAAGCTAATCTGGCTCTGAGATAGTACGCATGCATATTTCCAGCCATTAGATACAGCTTGGAAAAATATACTGTATTTTCTTTTCTGCTGTAGTTGTGTACTTTCAATTGAACCTTTTGTACAGACATATACAGGCAATATTTGCACAGCCTTAAAGGAAATGAGTGTATTGGAAAGTGTGTGTGTTTACTTGTGTGTATTTGTTTGTGTGGGTTTGCGGTTAATGCTAAATCTCAACAGATAATACGTATGGCAGGCTAAACATCACTGAAATTGGTCTGAGTCCTGGTAATCAAACAGCAGCCAGACAGTCCCAGCAGCTGACCTGTCACCCCAAAGTTTAGCAGAGGACCTAGAGAGAAGAGACTGACTGCCACTGCTCTGCGCAATAACTCTGTTCCAGGTTACGTCCTCACTCTTTAGGAGCATGCCTGAAGGAGAAGACTAAAATTCTGCAAAAGGGCTGACATGAATTGCTTTCATAGCACAGTTGAATGTTATATTTGGGAGAATTTAACAGATAACATGTAGGAGTAGGCAGGAAAGCAGACTTTTCTTTATTCTTGGTGAGAGTAAAAAATGAATTAAAGCATCAGCTGCTAGATTATTCCATCAGAATCAGCTCTGCCAGCTATTTACTTTAGTTACTTTTTGTGTTGTAATGAGTTAGGGACTTTTTGCCGGATTCTTTGTTTATTTATGGACTTCGTTGTTAGTTTGTGTTTTCCCTACAGTTTTGTTGATTTCATTATCTGTGATTAATATGGTGCTTCTGCCTTGTTGGGTTTTTTTCTTCTTAGTTGATCATTCTTTTGTTTCTATGTTCTCTGTTTGTTGCCATCTTCTCTGTTGTCTTTAATTTCTGTTAATTTCACTGATGTTAACGCTCTCTGCTGCTCTTCATTCATTACCCTCCTCTGTACATAAGCTTTTTGGTTTTCTCATTCTGCCTTATTGGTTTTTGCTGTATGGTATTCTGGTTTAAGGGTTCCACTGCCATGGTTTAGGTTTCTTATAGTTTTACTTATAGTATAGTAGACCCTAAAATATAAGAAAATAAAGCTACTCTTAGCACATACAGCAGTTTATAGTACAAAGAAAGAAACATGACTCATGACCTGGGCATAAGAAACTTTTTTCTGTAATAAAGAGATGGAAAAAGAAGAAAATGTTGGTGGTGCTACGTTACAGACACATCTAATAATGTCTCTTGCCATAATTTTTGGTCTCTTCAAGATGTTCATAACTAACTCTTGAGCACAATGTCTTACTTTTAACTGACTTACTTTTTTACATTTTCTACATGAGAAATCTTTAAACTCTTACATTTGAGGCATCGCAGTTTGAGTGACAAAAAAAAAACTGACATGAAGTGAATGAGGAGAGAATCTGATGGAAGGGGTGCTGTGACTTCTGTGTTTACAACCCCTGGAATACTCTCCTTTCCATTCATGTCCAAACAAAGAGAGTGAGACAGTGCAGCACCACAACTCCAGCGGTTCATTCTTGAACTGGCTTCATCCAGTGTGGTCCAGATAACCATCTCTTACTGTACCACCCCAGTAGTAGCACTCTGCTCCACAGATATTTCATTTATAAACATTGGAGAGCCTCTCCTGCCCAACTCAGAATGTGCAAGACTAACGATAAAAGACATCAGCAGAGGTCAAGCTAAGAAATAAAAACAAACAAGGGAGCACGAATGAATCAGAATCAAGCATTAGAGACACAGTGAAAGGGATACTGTGTGCCAATTAAAGCAGTTCTAATAAAAAAATCTGTCCCTCAACACATAATCACTGGCTAAAGTCCTTAAAAAATACATTTTCACATCCATTTATTTTTATGCATCGATGCTTCAACAAATACATGACAGAGCCTAGTGCATCAGTTTGAGGGTGGCAAGTCAAACATGTAAAATGTTGCATGTATGACAACCTCTGGAATAACAACATACTCAGAGGAACAGACAGGGGCACAGGCAGAGATGAAGAAAGGTGATATCCGGAGTAGCCTGTTCATGGGGCCACCCAGCACCAGCGTCTGCACCTTCTCATTCAAACACCAACACACACACACACAAAGTGAGCTCACTTACAAAACACCAGAGCAATACTCACAAAGTGTGTCCTCTCACATCTGCACAGAAGCCTGTGGGCTGCACCGAAAAGGACTCAAAAATGGTTGAACTCCGTTAATCCTATCTTTGTTTTTTACTCAGATAACTCAACTTAATTTACTAACTGCATTGATCCTCAGTCTATAAAAGAAGGGCTTAAATTCCATTAAGTAAATTGAATTGCAGGAAACTCAGGCAAACATCAGGAAACACCCTATAGGCAATCCACACAGGGAGCCTATTGACTGTGTCAGTGTTATTGGTTTTGTGAGGTCAAAAGACAGATGGGAGATAACTCATAAAATACTGTTTGGACCGATGAAAGGAAGAGATGAGCATGAACACTCGAGCGATAAGGATAACAAGACAGACGTCTGACATAAGAATTCAAAGGAATATATAGTCATTTTAAAAGTATCACAAGGAGTATCATAAATCAGCCTGACAACAAAGACAACAACATTGTTATTTCTAGATCAGAGATATATAACTTAAATTAAACAATGATAAATTATCATACAAATATGACCATAAATTCAGCATCATTTGAATCAAAATGTAAGTTGGTCCAGTATGATGGAGAGAAAAGTAACACTGCATAAGACGATCCAAAGATGATTAATCTCACATGAATAAGATTTAAAGCGAATTAATAGGAGCTGGCTTCAAAGAACAACTTTACAAGGTTGTTTTAAGGGTGAGTAACAAGACAAACGGCTAACGAGGATTCTATGAAAATTTAGACGAGACTGAACCCATACAGAATAACAGACCGCTGTTAGCTTCTCTGATGAATTAATTCTTTTTTCCCCAAAGATTTTTTAAAAATGTTGTTTTACCATTTTTACCTTAAAAAAAACTAAAAATACAAAAAGAACTTCAAAAAAAAGAAAAATGTAAAAAAATAAACCCCTTTTAAACCAGTTCGTTGTGAGTTTTGTAAAAGAGCCTGAGAGTCAGCTAATTCAATGACTTCTGGAAAAAAGTGACACATATGTAGGAAGCATGTTCATGCTGTGTAGGTATAGAGGAAAAGAGAAGAAACGGAAGTAAAACGTGTAACAAGCTGATGTTAAGGTAGGTGAGAGCAAGTATTTGTGGACCCAGAGCCTGTAAAGGCTTGTTTGTACAGTGTGAGGAAAAAAAAATGTAAACATGTCACTTTTCATTAGTGCCCTATTCCTCCCACTTGGCAAAAAAAAAGTCTTTATACCTCCCTTGTTAATCCTGCCCATCAGCAGCATATAATTACTGATTGTGGGGTTATCTTTGGCTGATCCACCAAAACCACAGAAAAGGAAAATATGAGTGAAAAGAGGCAAATTAAGACAAAAAGTGGGAGAAGATACAAGAAATGGGAGTGGCTGACATCTTGGGTTTATGTACAATAATAACCAGAGGAGAAAAAAATAAAAGGTATGCGTGATATATAAAAAAAAAAAGTCCCAAGATGAGAGGATAGAGAGTGCTATAACTCACACTTCCTCAATCCTTTCCCTCTTTACTTGTGGTCCTCCACTTTACCCACATGTCCCTGCCCTCTTTAACTCATCCCTCTCTTTCTCTGTCTCTCTCCCTTCGTCTCCCTCCCAGGAGGCTGGGTCTCCTGACCCCGTGTGAAAGTCAGCAGCACACATTCCACCACAGTCCACTCTACTCTGGGAAAGTCAGGCTGCCTGAGACATGAGGTTAAAGGAAGAACTGAACTGCTACCGCTTTAAAAGTAGGTGATTAAAAAAAGGGATACACACGGTGCAGGAAGCTCCATGTAAAGGAAACTTTACTGAACCGTGTTGATAAGATATTTGGTCAAAAGTAAGACTTGGCCTTTCTCCTTGTGAGTGGATATGTCGTGATAAGTTCAGATAATAAAGTCACAACCTCCTAAACCACAAGCTAAAAATGTGTTAGCTTACTGGAATCATGTGCCTTCTTTTCCTTTAGTTTTCTCATCCATCCCACCATCCTGTGATACCCAAATAATTCTACATATTTTCCAAGTGTTTTTCCCACTCTGGGACCTGAAAAGTCTCAGCCTGATGAGTCATAGACTGCCAGTTGCTTTTTTAAAAGTATTACTGCAGATTCATTCAGATACATCAGACTTAGTCAACGCTGATAAGGGAATTTCAGGCTCAAGTGAGATGTAAACAGTTCAGCCTAAAAATATTAAGACCATGTTCTATTTTGTTGAAAAGGTTAAAGTGCAGACCTATAGCTTTAAATAGAGGTGGTTAACTTTTAATGGAATAGTAAAATGTATTTAAAAAACCTCATGCTGATGCTTCTTCTGGTGTATTGAACTGTCCAACAAACGGCCTTCGTGGCCACCATGGATGGCATTCCATAAGAATTAGGGATTTGAATTTTGAATGAGTTTACACAGCCGCCACATTGGACGGTCAGTGTGAGGAGTTTAAACACATTTCATACTTGGATCCTGCCAACATATCTTCATGATCCTCCAGGACTGTTCTTCAGCTGTTCTCAGTTTTTGCTTGTTTTGTCTGCCGTCTGATTTCCCAGCATATGAAACACAATCTAAGATCTGCACTTCTCACTCACTAAGAATGAAGTCAGATCATAAGATTTATTTGGTAACAACTGATGTTGAAGTTTTCTTTTTTGACTTGGCTAAAGAATAAAACAAAAAATAATAATAACCCTAACCCTAATAAAAACCATGTCAGTGTCCACATACTTGGAGAAAAAATGTACACTTGAAAGGAGATATATCACTGAGAGTGAAAAGGGGGATGAAAGAAGGATGAAGAATAGGGCAGTGCTGTGCTAGAAGGAAACAGGTGAGGAGCAAAAATCAGGGTGTGTCAAAATAGGTATAAGGACTTAAACATCACTCCACACTCTTGATCAAATTCATCTCTGGCTTAAGCACTGTTATCAACAAACCACTGCTCACATGGAACACTGATGCATAGAGAACATGGTGGACAGATGTAGTGATTTACCTGAAAATAAGAGTGGAAAAGGGGAAGCAAAGAACTGACAGACGGCAGATTGTGCCCCCGCCCCCACCGGACAGAACCACTTTGACTTGACTCTGGTAATAGCTGAAAAAGTATGGAGTTAATCAAAAGTTTGTGAGGCTGACAGGCAGGGGGCCCGTTGTGAAGCCCAACCAGGGGCCCCAGCTCCATGAAGCCTGCAGTGTTACAGGGCCTTTTCTTTGCTCTGGAGTCCTGCTTGAGCGCCCATAGGCAGTCTGTCTGCTGGTGGCAATAATTTGGGATCAGTCAGCAAAGCACCCATCTAAAATTTCTACATGATGACACCAACCCTAATGACCCGCTGACAACATGTACAAAGTCCCAGGTCCCATGTGTCAACGCTTTGAGCCTGCAGAAAACGTGTCAGTATGGGAAAAGGGCCCTTCAAGCTGCTGTGGCATGACAGACCTTACCTCTGTAATAATGAAGAAATCATCACCAGGCTCTCCTTGCACCACAATCTTCTCTCCATCTTCAAACTGGACAGGTTCAAGAGCATCAGCAACAGTCAGACGCTCCCACTTATCCAAAGACTCTGTGAAGTGGCAACAAATAAAGAGCATAAATCAATCTGTTCTTACAACAATGTTTTGCTCCACATAGACTTATATTTGTTTCTATCAATGATCTCACTGGCTATTTCTGCATTCCACTGGTGCACTAAATTCCATTTCATACTAATCCACTCATTAATCAGGAACCATAACTAATCTATTTATCCTTAAAGAGTTTGTAAAGTATCAGAGAAAGCTAGATGGTCTCTTTAAGTATCCAATCACGTTGGAATTGGTATAATCAAATTTTTCTACAAGCTCTGGTTATTTGACAGAAACCACAGCACTTAATGCCACACATCTATCTGGAAAAAAGCCTTTCCAACTAAAATTATTAATGCTAGTTAAAGAATTCATTATTAAAGGGTAAGGATAATTGAGGATATGTACATAGCAGTTTTGCTAATGAGCTTGTCATTCACTCACACTTCAGCAGATTACTGTGTCCTAATCTTAACAGTCCATACATCTACACGTGGACTGTGACTTATTTGCAGTGAAAACAATCTCATCCTCAGCTTTGTCTAGATGAAAAGATGATTCATTGTTATTATTTGACTAAGGCATGAGTTAGAGGCATAAAACAACAGCGAGATCTCTTTGTCTGGGACCATTGTCTCCTGATGTGCTCAGTAACTGAGCCTAGTGTGTCTATTTGTGTGTGTGTGAGTGTATAAATGTGTATGTGTGTGGGATTAACTAAGATAGATCTGATGATTTGGAGGTGTCCAGTGTCCCCTCTGGTGGGGCCGTGGTGTCTGCCTGAGCCAGATGGATGTCTTCTCTTTGGCTGTTAGCTAAAGGCTGCAGGTCCCACAGAGGTGATCCTGAACGGCGAGGCAAGTAACCCAATACACAAATGTCCTGACTAAAGAAGCTACATTTTACGCTTCATCAAGCTGTTAGCCACTTAGGCCACCTTGTTGCGCACATAGTAGTAAACGTGCAGGGAACTGGGATGTTGAAGCCTGTTTGAAAGAGTGTGTGACAAACAACGAGCTCTGCCACATCAAGGGCATGTACCCAATTTCGTGGCTATCTCAAAAATCAAAGACAAACAAAACACCTCCGCCCCCTGCCCCTCCTCCAATTCAAGGAGGCAGAGCAGAGAGGCACAGCGACAGAAAGAGGAATGAAGAGCGGTAAAGCACTCTGATGAGGGAGGCGGGTGTCTGAATATAGGCCTCAACAAGGCTGTCAGAAAGGAAGCTGCGGAGGAAAGTAGGTGAATGAAAAGAGAGAGGACCTCCGAGACGTTCTCCCAAGACCTGAATTGAGTGTATGTGTTTACTCACCCAGCTAATAACTCTGTACAGGGGGCATGGCCTCGCTTTATACACTGCACACACACCATCAAGTGGAAAAGGATGAAATGTCAGTTCCAATTTCAACTCAATTTGAAAGTCTGAATGAATCTCTCTCGCCATTTCTCCAAATCCAGTGGCCTGTTTAGGCTGGTGTTAGCCAAATTCCAGTGGGAAAGAGAGGCTTATCTTAACACCCTATTCTTTAATTGTCCATAGAGGGGCACTGCAAAGTGTGACTGGTTTAAGCATAAACAATATGAGCAGATTAGGAGCGTACTCACAGACCTCACTATGGACTACAGGCCTCGTGTGACATTGTGTGCCTGTGTTTATGTGGGCTAATCTGTGGTAAATGTTGATTTAACTGCTTTCCCCTTTGGACTCTTTGACCTTTGAAAATTCAGCCTATATCATGGAATACACATGATATTACACGCATCCTTTGACATGCTTATAAAAGGATAAACAAATAGAAATACACCTACAGAGATTTTGGGCGGACGTTACAATTTTAGAAACTTGTGTACACTTACCAAGGATGGAGACCTTGCTGAGGAACTCTTCATACATCTTTCTCTTCCTCAGAGTGCTACCCTATAAAACAAACGTAGAAATACATGGATTGTTTGACAACCTTTTTTTAAACTGTTCTTTTTCAAAGAAGATCTTTTTATCTTTTTACACTACTCTTGCCTGGGCCTACCACTAATTGACCCAAAGGCAAATATTTGTATCTTTACAGGTTCTGAAAGGTAAACCTATGTTTTCAAGTAGTAAATTGGCAAACTACAAGGGGAAAAACAGCAAGACCTTTGACAGTATAGCCCCTGCGACAAGTCATGGGCCCCTAAAGGTGCAATTAGGTTTTTTAACCATGTGTATGTTTTCAGTGGTCCTTCTGCAACCATCTTTCAACAAGGAACTATATATCAGCCATACCTGACCTCTCAGGCTATCTTCAAGCAAAACACACAGACACATACCAATAGTACAAAATGTCGCTACAGTAGAAGATAATCTGTGATTTACAGATCCCAGTTCACCGGGCCATGCTTACGGAGGTGTGTATGTCATACGTGGTCATGTTGCGTGTGCGTATCTGTGTGTGTGGCCCACCCCACCCACAAGGCAGGGGACTTTCCCCTCGCCGCCTCTGCCATGAAAATCAGGTGCTTCCTGACAAGTCTAGACCCAAAGGACCCCTTCGCTTACTGCATTTCTCCCTCACTGCACAGAACCACTCACAGAGAGCGGGAACATAAAGAGGGAGAAAAACCAGCAGGGACAGACAATCTTGTCCGCCCTGTGTCTGTCTTTGCATATGGAAGTGATATATTGAGGCTTGGGATGTCTTCAGTGCAAAAGTGCACGAGTCCCGCTGCTGCCTTTAATTTCATATAATTTCAGATTTTGTCTTAAAAGGGGAGAAAATCTTCCCAAGTGAGTCAATGTCAAACTCAGAATTGTAAACAACTTGATTAAAGGAATTCTAGCCTGCACTGCCTCCCTCCTGAGGAAAAGACTCAATTGTGTGTCTGCGTGTGCAGGCAGTGCACGCAGCCTGTTTTTAGTTTGTCCACTTAAGATTCTCTGTGGAGACAAAACTTGCTCATTATGCGATCAAATACCCCTTCAAACTCACATACACGGCCTCTGCACAAAACCTGCGGAGCTTAAAGGCTTTTTGCGCGTACATAACAATAAATTATGCAGTAGGCCTGATTAATGGGACTGCAGCTGGTAGGTCTGAGTACGCCTGAGTAATGTCAACATTGCAGGGCTTCACTTGAGCTGCTGGAAACAAAATGTTAACTTGAAATTTCTGAATCAGAAATGTCCGGCTAACATTTAATTCATTAGTGGACTTACATTTTCTCTCTGTGTCCTTCTTTATCTGTCATGTCTACTTGGGAGGTCCTAAGCACATGCTCCATGTATAAAAATCTGTCTCTGCTCTTGGCCCTAATGTGTTCACTCCTCTTGTGGTTAAGGATGAACCCGCCTCTATGTCTGTTTGCTGTCTTTGAGGTAAAATCTTCAAAGGCTTGAGGTGTGGACTGAAGCCAGACTAAACCAACTGTACCTTACATCCTATCTATCTCACCTTCATCTCTGTCCAATATGAAACACCAACTCCCACCCCTTCACTGCTCTTCATTAGTTGGCATAATTTTCCCCTTGTTTCCTTTTGCCTTATGTTCTGTTTGTTGACAGTGGTCTGTCAGTTTGTTAACGGCTTTGTCTATAAGTGTGTGTTTAAATGCCAAGATGACAGAACCATGTGGGTATTGTATGACTGAGTGCAACACAATGGGAGAGTGTGTTGATCACAGGGAATGGTATTACATTGTTTGCCCAACGCACTCCTGGATAAAGAGAGTGGTGGGCCGGGTGGATGTGGTGGGCTTTGAAGCGGTGCCTTGATTTTAACCAACCATCACTGACAAACTGTAATATCAGGAAATCTATCATTAACATTCTTGCCGTCTGCAATTGCATCAAGGCCACTTTTGATCATACTGATATTGACAAAAACACGTGCTATGTTTTGCCACCTTGATGGCAAAGAGATGCTAGTAAATGTCATGAAGATGTAGCTCATTAGCTCATTTTCTCCAGCAGCTGTGATGCAAAATTTAGAGATTATGATGGAGTCAGCACAGTGAATTCTAACACCAAGTAGCCCTCCTGTGTGCTTCAGACCCAATGGCAAGAGGGCTAAGAGCCAGCTTAATCTAAGTTATCTATCAATCATCTTTCTAACTAGACTGGCTTCCTAATGCCCAGTGGCAAGAAAATTAACTTGATGAGTTGGAAATCCTACTCTGTGGTTACAACATCCAAGCCCATCTCTATCAGAACTCAATGGATAGCTGGAGTAAAACACATTTTGTTTAATTTGTGGGACTTTTCCTTTATTAGTGGGCGGCATAAAGAGACTATGTCGTTAATCTGGTTAGTCAATCTTGCGTTGTGCAGCGATAGTCTAATTGAATCTCGAATTCCATTCATTGATTAATTGTTTTTCCTTGCAAAGTAAGTAATTCTTAGAAAATATTTTGTTTCGTTCAACCAAAAAAACAACAACATATGTATCAAAACACGATTTCAAGCCAAGCAACGTTGCTCCAGATAATGTTTCATGAAAAAGAGTTAATAAGGTGCGAAATGACTTAAAATACATTTAATATTGCAATTTGGAGACCCTGCAGAGAAGCGAGACAGGGGAGCAGATGTCTGAACAATGGCAGTAATGGCAGAGGGAAGGCACCTTGTTAGTTTCTGACTAAGCAGCTGCAAACACAAGCACTCAGCAGAATTTCAACTGGGAAACACACACATATTTACACAAAGAGAGAATGCTCATAGTGTTGGCTAAAGACGTTGCCAGAATACCACACTTTACAAATCATTGACAGCAATAATTAACTACAGGTTCGCATAATTGAATTCTGTTTCACCCCGTCTCCCCTCCTGCTGCTGCTGGAAGGAATGAAGGAATGAGAGCTGAAGAGAGCGAGAATCCTCTCAAAGAAAGGTTACCCGGGCAGATTGTGCCGTCAGTTTAACTATGCGCTTAAGAGGTGAGATGAGTGCTAGTTCAGGCCAGTGCCAACTTTACACTGAGCTGAAAGGTCCAAAAAACACACCTTGTTCCGTATCTGTGAGCTCTGTTTGACATAAAACAGAATTTTCACTGTTGGCACTGGCAAATGTTCAGATATGTACAGGAGTTGGAAAGGTTAATTGGAGTCTGTCTATTTTTTTTTCTCTCCTACGGATTAAGGGACATTTGAGGAAGCATTTAGCAGGGAAAGATGTCTCACACAGATACACTCACACATGTACAATAATTAGTCATAGTAGCACAGCCCCCAAAAATAAGTTTGTGCATGTGAGTAAGTGTGACAGCCAGGTCAGAACACCTAATGTTTCCACTTTAAACATTTAGACATTCCTACTAGATAAGCCCCTGGAGTGAGAAGTGTGTGTAAAGAAATTAGAATTGACCCTTTCTCTCCCCTCCAGCACCCATTCACTCCCCTCTGCTTTGACTTTTTTTGTCTTTTTTTAAGGAGGAGATCTAGAAAAAACATTAAAAAAGGAGGATAGACTCCTGCATGTGCATATGTCTAAATGTAAGTGAAAGTGTGTCTTCAACAAGAAAAAGAAAAAAAAATATTCTAAGTGTTTAAGGAGTCTTAAGTGGCTGAGGGGGAGAAATATAGCAAGGAAAGGAGCATGAACGATTATTGTGGGGTCTGGTGCAGACCATTTGCACCATGTGTTCATACATCACACTTCTTTCTGTATTGTGTCATTGAAGAATAACTACTGGTTTATCTATCTGTTTAACATTTCATTTATCTATTTGTGAGATTTGCAAACTGCTCCAGATTTCCTCTGAATAATCTGATTTATGGTTGAACTTTAGAGCATCTGATGGAGATGTAAAGAAAAACAATAAACTTGAGTGTTTGAAAGATTTGAAAGAATTAAGTTTACTAGCTCAGGGTGTAACCACACTGTAATATTATCTAATTCAAATGACACAATCAGAATAACTTCATATATATATCATATATAATATATATATACATCATTGCATTATTTCTTTAAATTCTAAGAACTAATGAAACAACTCTATGTTTCTGCTATATCAACGATTTTCAAGGTCATCATCCACCTTCGATGGAGTTGCACTCCTACCAAACCCTGCACTTTCAAAGCGTGGGAGGTAATATGCAGAGAGCTTGCATTTAACCTGAGCACAGAGCACACTGATGCACGGTAACCTATGTCGGTGTGTTGACATTCATACCATCAGGATACGTCGATAGCTGTCTCGGTCAATTCCCCACAACTTAAGATCAGTCTTGGCCTTGACGGTGGCAGCTCTTGGAGTCCCATAGATCAGAGCCAGCTCTCCAAAACTACCTCCTTCTCCAATATTGGTCACCAACTCACCATTGACATACACCTGTGAAGAGGACAACAAAAAAATGTGATATGATGAACACAGATTCCAAGGCTTATTTACTATAAAGATGACCAATGGACTGTGGGGACTTTATGATTTTTTCCTTTGCATTCTCACCACTTATCCTGACAAAGCTTCTAAAACCTGTTTTCTCTCCTGCAACCCTCCTCAGTTTACTCTTCTGTGTTTAACATACTCACTTCTTAGAATTTGATTTACACTAAATCCTCGGGAGAGACCACCTAAAAGCCGCTCTTTCACTTTTGTTTACTTTATCTTGTGCTGTCGGAGCTGTCCCCCTCATTTGCGAGTGAAGGAGGTCACAGCTGAGGTACATTTTACTTTTCTCCCGTAACTTCTGATACATGCACACTCTCACATGGTTGATCACGTACGTGCACACACATGCACCGGTCCATTCAGTCAAGCCACTACAGCTCGACAGAGACTAAAACCTCAGTGAAGCTGTCCCTGAGGCCATTACGGTTTCACCTGTCAGCACGCTATCCACTGTCTTGTTGACTTAATAACACGGAGAGTAAGGAGGGAAAAAGAGAAGCCGAGAGGGAGGGTTTACTCCTTTGCTGGCTGCTGTGAATTGTCAGGACTGTTGAAGGCCATTATTGAGGTTTGGTCCACAGAGGACTCATCCTTCACTATAGGCTGGATCGGCTTTAAAGAGTTGCAGAGTTCTGACTTTGTCTACGTCAATCCTAGAACAATTATCTGAATGTTGTAGAGGTGCTACATCAGCACAATTACTGCACTTTCCAATCCAGGTCGTCTTTGCCAAGTTCTCACAGTGTCACATGCAGTGCCTTTAGGTTTTTATAAAACCGTAATTCAGCTCCTGGATATGTAGACATTTCTCAAACGCAGAAATGAGAATGAGAGCAAAGCAGAAAGGGTGGCCACTAACAACTGACTGGAAAAAGTCTCCAGCAGCATATGATGTTTTACAGCTGTCACTGAATGCACAAATGTACGCAACTATGAGCAGCAACTTGTGTGTGGCTGTTAGTAATTTAGAAATAACAAATCAAAACTACTGGAAGGCAGAGTAGCAGGCAGAGTGTTTGTGCTTGTGGTTACTCTTGTGCTTGTGAGTTTTGCCCATGGGCTTTTTAACAGAGTGATAGAGTGTCTATAAATTCTAAATGCCTTGGCCGCTCAGAATAATGATAAAAATAAGCTTGCTCTTTCATAATAATTGCTTGTAAAGAGAAAATAACTTCTCATGAGTTTTGCCAATTAAATTCCAGAAATGCGCGATTCAACTAAATTCAAATTTTAATTACAAACAGTATTTTCTTCGCTCAAACAAAATCATCTCGCAATTTTGAAAGAAAGCTTTCATTTCTTTTGTGGTGCACCCATATATAAATACAGACCAATGTCTGTAAGTGAATAGATTTGTGTGCAGACATGGAGGGGTGTTTACATTAGTGGCAGCTTTCAGGCACTTTATGGGAAGCTGGCAGATTTACACCCCTGTCTAATGAGAGACATCTCCACACTCTAATAACCTCGGCACTGATCTTGAAGTCGTTTGGTGCCAGGGCTATGGCTGGGAGGCGGCCGCTGTCTGTAGAGATGGAAGAGTGGATGGCGGGGTGAGGTGACGGAGACACCGAAAAGCATGAGATTTGGCTGGGATGAGTTTTTTAGGATCGTCTTCCCATGGACGATCCTGGGTGCAGGATGACATGGTTCTGTGGGAGCTGAGTCACTGGTGGCCGCCTTGAAGACACCACATCTGGTTTCACATTGGTTGGAGGGTCAATTATGGCAGAAATGAGTGCTGCAACGGCGGGACAGACTGCCACTGTAAATGTGGATCTAATACAGCACTTGAGCGGAACAGCCTTACGGGAAACCTTATAGAAGTAGCAGAAATAGAAAAGCTAGGCCCCTTTTATGTTGCAAATGTAAGCAACAAAATCACTATGGTATGAAGTCAAGGTTTCACCAACAGCTTTTCAAAAATCATTTTAAGTGAACAGTATGAGCAACAGAATCAAGTGATTAAAACTAATTGACTGATCAGGAAATTCAAATGAAATAAAAGTAAACAAATACATTTCCAAAGTGATGATAAAGTGTCTGGATACACAACCTGCAGTGGCTGCCCTATCTTTTCTCTAAATATAGGCTTGAATAAAAAAAACTATATATATCTTTGCTTAGAGCACAATAATGTCTCACTTCTCAGGAGTCTGGAAACAGATTCCATTCCTATCTAATCATTTTTGACAAGACACTATCAGAAACAACAGAAGCCTGAGCAATATAACTTAGTTAGCTTGTGGTTAGTTAGTTGTTTCGGAGTCTTTCAACCTTACCACTATGTGACTGTTTCTGCTTCCCTTTTTTTGTTTAGGTGGGTCACTGATTTTGACAATAGCTGTGAAGCTTACCAACCTGCTTCTCTCCTCTTACTCGCTGTCTCAGTGCTCACTGTTGTAAGCTGATAAGGTCACTTCCTGTTTAACTTTCCATCAGCTCCCGTTTTATCTCTCCACTTAACTCTATCGCTCTGTGTCAGGCTTGCTAATACAAAAGATCTTCTTACTTTAGGTGCCTTCACAGAGAGATTGCCTCTAAAGCGTCGTGTTCAGATTGTCATCGGCCTGGAACCAGACTTTGAAGAGAACAAAACATGGGGGCAATTCTACAACTTGCCCATTTGTGGAAGTGTTAACTGTCTCAACATGAGTGGAGTAGGCAAGGTTTTCAGTTGAGTCACAAACCCTCTCATACCTTAACTACAAATGAAAAAAGGAATAAGGTTTTTAAAAAACTGCAAACTAAAATCCCATTACATTAAATATTTTGCTTTGATTAACTTGTTCGATGATAAGAATTGAACAGTTTCTTCTGAGATTTAAGGATGTTCTCTTATTCTGATATAAGAATCGAGAATATGTACAGTATGTGTTTGTGTGTGCCACTTACATCAACTTCACCTTGGTCAATCACATAGAAGTTGTCACCTTCATCACCTGGAGAGGACAGAGCAGAAACCAAGGCTTGTGACAGTGAAAGAGAGAGAAAGCAAAGGAAACAGCTTAACCGACCTGACATCTGGCTTCCATTGATCAATTCTATCATTGGTAACTAACTTTTTAGCACTTAAAGAACTTATTAGCATGATGTTACCACACATTTGTCCATAAATTATTCATAATCTATTAAATGAACAACCGTAAAGGCGTACCTTTTTTCAACAATTAAAAGGCCTACACTTGTTTAGCTCTATCCACGAGCTCTGAGAAACACGTTAGTTCTCAGCACACAGATCAGAAGTTAATATTTAAGCATTTTGATTCCATGTCTGTTGGAACAACAGAATTTATTGTTCTTTGGGTCTTAATAAATCAAAGACCTCTAAGCTCCTGGGAACACCCACTCTCAGACGTGCTACTGCCTTCTCCAGAATGCACATTTATGGACCAGCCAGTAACTTGTGAAATAAGGCTCTCACTGGCAGAAAGTCGCAGTCGCTGAAAGGTTCATTACTGTTGCTTTTGTGGTTTAATAGAGGAAACTCTGAAACTGAAGTGCCTGGGCATGACGAGGAACAACACCTTAGTTTGATGCCAAAGAACAGAGAAATCCATAATACCCTGTTCAGCTGCAGGCATTAGCTTACATAATCCTTTTCTACATACAATTATTACAGAGGACTATTTGTTATATTTAAGATTTGGAACTCAAAATATGGTCTGTCTGACTTACTGAATCAATATTTTGCCAATGCTTGCGAGCTGGGCTCTTCAAGTTAACCCTTTGAAAAGATATTTTATCCAGTTGGTTAACATCCCTTAAAAGCATCTAGTCTGGAGATAAGGTAAAAATGGCAAGTGCTCTTTAAATTATGCAATTCCATTAAACAGAGTCTATGGGAAATCATTATAAAGGTCACAGCCACATACATGAGCACTCAGGATCTCAACTCCCTCAAGTTGATAGAAATACAACCTGATTCCGAGGAGTGTCTATGGTATGCATGTCTGTGTATCTTGTAGGAACCGAGTCATCGTTCGGCCGTGTCTATTTCTTGTGTGTATGTTCACCTAAAGAGTTGAAAGGCTGAGAGGGCCTTGTGAGTAAAGTTCACGAGAGTTCACACGCCTAATTAATACTTAGTGGAGTGGAGGGCTCGTTAATCATACAGTTCCATTTGTCACACAAAAACGCTCCTTGTCTGTCCCTGTGAAGACCCCAGAGACACATATACACACCTACTCTCAACCTGCTGCGACCTGGCCCTCCGCTAATTTTTCTTCTCCCTCTTTCATCTCATCTATCGCTCTTGCAGCTCCCTCTCACTGTGTCTCTCTTTTCTTCTGCTCTTCCTGTCTTTTATCACTTTGCTGCCCAAGCCTTTGTTTTGCACCTTTTGCTTGAGAGTGCAGGCAAATATTTGACCAGAGCTTGCACACACAAAAAGACACACACACACACACACACTTACATTCACGTGCAGGCTGGTTTATGCGGTGTGGTCATGTTTCAACACAAGCCAATCACGGTAACCTCAGGTAAGGTTCAGAACAACACAGGTTATATCCTCAACTATTACTGCTGCAGCACCAGTGATGCTGTGAGTCCAGTCTGATTTCATGCTGCGATATTTCTAAATTCAAAAGACACGCTCACATATGATGACACCGAGACAACGGGGTCAGGTGAAAACACCTTTGTCCTCCATTTTGCATGTAAATTCCCGCTGTGTTTAAAACACTGCTCCGGCTTCACAGGTATAAGTCCTGGCTGTGTCTAAATAGTGTGTGGCTAGCCTGTAACAGGGTTAGTTTCTTGAAGCTGTACAGTAGTCCAGACATTAGCCATGACATCAGTGCTGTATACACCACACTCAATATTGTATATAACAATGGACTGTCTGGAACTGGGGGCCTTGCGACTTATTATCACCAAATTAGGACTGATATACTCCTGACTGCTGTTTTAAGAGAAGATGGGACAGCCTGAGAGGTTGGCTGTCCAGGCACCAACAGTTCTCTGTTTGTTTTTAAGCAGCATGCTCAACAGTTATAAACTCTGTGATTTTGTGTTGGTGTTAACATAGTATTATCTGAGAGTAGGAATTTGTCTGCAAGAATGTGTGCTTTCTGGGTTTCAAGTATGTGATTAAATGTGTCTGTGTTTGATAGGAGTTTGAAAGAGGGAGACCTGGAGAAATACAGTCTTGTCTCGCTGGCCTGTGTTTCTTCAAAATACAGGGATGACTAGAGTCAAAGTTTTGACGACTGTTAAGCAGAAGAGAGCACGTTGACAGCTGGTGCAGGCTGAAGAATGTGTGAGTGGGGCAATAAGAGGAAAGGGAGTGGTAATATAAAATAAACATGACCAGTAGTGGCTGTGAAATAGATGTATTCTTTGAGATAAAGTCATTGTGGATAATTTGTAAGAGTCCTAATTGCTTCCTTTCCATTAAAGTGGTTCAGAGGTTCAAGTCTATGCTAACACAAAGTTACATCAGAAATCAGGGATAAATGCAAAGTTTCTAAATCACTCCTAAATGTTCATATTTAGAGAACATTTTATTTAAAATTATTGTGATGTTACATGAATATGTTTGTTTTTCCCAAGGCCAAACTGACATTACAGTATCAGGTATGCCAACTGACTTTGTGTCACACAGAGTTAAATAAAATAGAAAAGCATTCATACTAACCTTGCTGAATGACGGTTTCTCCTGCGATGTGGGTTACCGGAAACATGGCATCAAATATGTCACTGGAGAAGAGAAAGAGGCAGAGAGAGAGAGAAGAGAAGGTAGGAAGACATAATTAAGGGAGGATATGGTTAGAACCTGAATACTTGACTTTTTTTAACTTTATAAATCTCGGAATTATGTACTGCTCTACTTGTCTCATAAGAACATATACAGTGCATACAACAGGTGGTTCATAGTGGAATGTTTTATGAAGAACACTGAAACCATCATCACTATGTCAACTCTAACAGCAGGTAGTGAAGGCCAAAGAGACAGTCCTGAGAACTCTCACTGACCCCAACGCACGCTCACACACACACTCACACACACACCTGCACAAAACGCATCCATCTGAATGTGTACACAACTGATTTCTTCATTATCAACCAAATCCAACCAAACGCCCACCACCCTCCGCTAAAAACATTATAAAGAACACATGTATACCGATGGGAAAACAAAAGTTTAGTTAATCAGACATCAAAGATGTATCATTTTTTCAAATGTTGGACTAATCCTTGAACTTTGTTGAATGAAAGCACCAGACACATGAGAATTCTGCTGCCGGGAGGAAAAAAGGTTTTGACCACTTTGCCTGTATCTTTTCATCATACTGGTACTGTGCATGGGATTAACAATGACTGTTTTGCTTCAGCCCATGATCAAAGCCTGTATTTCTGGGGGCATCTTCCTTTCCTAGAGGTGCTGAAAAAACAAACAAAATGACGGCTGCACCTACGCGCATAATTTCTGTTTCAGCCCGGCAGGGAAAGCGCCTGTTAGACTGTTGCTAATCGGCCATTTAAATGCATGAAGAAGAGAAGATTAGAGTTCCACTACTGGAATGTGTTGGGACAAGAGAAGTATCCTTCCTCTCCTCCTCTCTGCCTGTCCTCACCTTCAGGGTGTATTTATCCATCTAATCAGTTGCATACCACCCGTCTTATAGAGAAATATAGAAAAAACAATAAAAGAGGGTCAGGTATATCAAAGACATACAAGAATGGCTGAGTGAATGAGAGGCAAGTCTGAGCTCGTACTCAGTTGTGTTTGCGCATGTATGTGCCACTGAATGTGCGTATTTGAGCCAGTATGTCGGCATCTGAGTGCATGCTGCCTATGAAAACACACAGGTTTGTACAAAATAATATGTGGGTGTGGGGTAAGCATGTGCTCCTGACCTTGCACTTGACTATGCAGCACTAAGCAATAGAGAAAAAAAACGTGTTGTTTTTTTTTTTAATCCAACATGCAACACAGTATAAATTGTCCGTAAATGCGATGCTATTCACGAGACTTCTACGTGAAAAGGTTTTTAAAGGAAAAAGCTGTAGGTCAACAGATGTGGAGAGATCTGAGAATGGTTTGGGAGTGAACGGACCCTGCTGGTATTTGTTTATGTGACACTGAATAGAAAGCAGATTTAAGAAGGTGGATTTCAGCCAACTACACCCACAGGTAGACCCTGTGTGCTGCAGCTGGCCACTGACTCACACACAGAAGTGTGCAAAGAGCAAACTGGCTCTTTGAAGAATGAAATAAAAGATGCAAAACCCCCATACTACACATAATGACCTGGTAAAATGCATACAATCAGTAGATGCAGCTGTGCATGCCATGACACTAATACACACAGTGTAAGTATTAGGACATATCTGAGCCCAGGCATTTTGATAAATACGTACATAATGGCATGATGATATGACACGCAGGCCAAAACACTTTGATGCAGATTAGTCAGAGCAACATCTGCAGAAGTGCCCTCAACTCTCCCCACATATGTGACCACCTGTGCTTGCCATGGAATCTGTTTATCGAGGGAGTTTAGGAGAACTGGGTTTCAGGTCACGCACTGCTAATAATGTGTGGTTTATGAATATAAATACATTAATAAAGGCAAAGTTCAAAGCAAGGACCATTTAAATGCATTAGCTGAGAAAATACAAAGAAAAATACAGTACTTAAATATATTATGTTTTGTTTCTAATATACCATACATATAAGTGGGAAAACAGTGGGAATGATTGGCTTCAGAGCATGTCAGGTTGAATTTAGGAAGTGTTCAATTGGAAATGATGACGACACCACATTGCCAAACAGGATGCTCAAGAGAGGGAACAAACTCTTACATGAGGATCAACGAACAGCAAACCTGTGTTTAACTAAATTGACTTGACCACCTCTCTGACCCACCCCCGATAAAGTGAATAAACTTGTCCTCTCTGACACCTGTAGCCCCAATGACTTTATGAAAAGGCAGAGCAACCTCATTTACAATGGATGTGCTATTCTTACATAGACAGATACAAAAAACGACAGAGGAGGGATACGCAGCTCAACTCCACCGACCCTAAGCTAAATAACAAAAGCTTCTGTCATGGCAGAGATTTGTCGAGATACGTCAAACACACATATGGATATGAGCATGCACACACACACACACACACACACACACACACATTCATGTTAAAATATATACAAAATGCACTCAGAGAAATATATGAGAACTACCATCTAAACAAATATAAGAATGCATAGACATCTCGTATGCACATTGCTGGGCTGCTTGCTAAAGATACAATATCTGTGACATGGTAAATGTATGCATGTGTGAGTCTATGTGTATAAATGACAAGAAACATTTACGTGCTTCTTCGAACTTTCTCAGATGCATACCCATAGCAGTGGAGTAACAACTTATCATTGTTCTCAAACCCTCATAAAAAAATGTTTAGCTTGGGGGATTTCAGTCATTAATTAAATCAAATCAGGCCTGCTTGTTGTGGCTAGATTGCTCGTTGCTCTTCCTGGCTGGCAATGACAGCCTCCCTCTCTCAAACACCTCTTCTCACCCTTTTAATCTCTCTTCCAGCACAGCTGTTTATTTGTTCAGCAGCTAACATCTTATCTTTTACATTACTAGATCAACACACAGTGCTGCCATTACACCATTAACACTAAAGGGTTCTTTAACAGCCCGGCGTGCCGCCATGTCTTTTTGTTTCTTAATGAGCCGCAGAATGTTGAGTTACACAAGACCTTAATGGGGAGCCCATCCAGAATGCGCACTCTGTCTGAGTAGCGGAGGTTTTATAATATGCCCAACAATCAGCAACTGCACCGCATATGGGAACTTCCCGAGTCTCCAAATCGCGTCTTAGCTTGGCAGCAGCATGCCACTGGCTTGGCTGGTGAAGTGTTGGTGTCATTAAGTCTTGAAGGATTAGTTTTCACTGCCATAGTTGATTGTAATTCAGGACTTTCAGTCTCATGAATCAGAACAATAGTTCTTGTGATGCCAGTCTAAACAATTCCAAGATATGAATGTTGGCTGAGGTACAGATGTATACATGACATGAAAAGATTGCTAAATCTATGGGGGTACAAAAAGGGAAAAGGTGACCAAGTAAAATGCTGTGTAAATAAAATTGCTCCGATTTCTTATTTTAGAATTATTCCACACATCTTGCAGCCACCGTGACACAGATGAAATACCTAGAAGGCTGTGCCATGATATATCTTCAGGATTCCAACCAGCTGTTCTTTCCAACACAGCAGAAACTTGGGAATGTTAAACAGAATCTTTGCAGCATACCAAACTGTAGTTTACCTAGAATTAAACGCTTTTGGAGGGCTCTCTACACTTTCAACAAACATAAGTGGTAGGTAGCTATGAATAACACATAATAATGTACTGAATTTTGTTTGGCTGCTGCAGTGATTAGTCAGCATAACATTTAAAGCACAAGTCACAAATATGAGCATGCAAACATAAATTAGATTTCCACTGATGAGGGGGGTAAAATGACTGTTAAGCACAATGATAGTAAGCTGGAAAACAGCTTTATGGGGCTGACTAAGTGTTGCACAGTTTAATGTCCATTGTTTAAAATTGTGCACAAGGAGCCAAAGTTACTCACATGGAACAACTAACTCACCCCCTAAGAGCTTTTTGTGTAGACACAAAGGTTTGTTTTTAAAGTAAATTTGCAATTACATAACAACAGAAGCAGACACATGCATCGAAGACTATAAAGTAGACAGACACACCACAGCTAACAGGCAGCACCAAAAGGGAGTGAGTTGAGGGAAAAGGGGAGATAAGGGAAGAACAGCTCCAAAGACCTAAGCATCCAGGGTGTATAGTTATGACAGAAAACCTCTTAACATCTGTCCACTTTTCAAAATAGGCCTTCAGTCTCTGAGAGTTACTCAAGTAGCTTGTATTTTGTTCTAACAGAGTCAAAACAAACCACAATGACTAAATCCCAACTATGATTATTTTCCTAATAGTTCCCTCCCAGCCTCTATGTCAAACATGGAGGCGATGGCTTTAGATAATAATAATTATGTTCGACACATAATAAAATATTTAATAGAACACTCTCATTGACAGGTAGGTCATACTTACTTGCCTCCACACAGCTTATTACATCATTTTACAAAGATCTTTTTGCAGGCCTTCGTTTTTTTGTGTGGGCTGATGAGAGCTGTGGGAACCAGCACTGTGGACCTGAAAGCAGGTCTTCAAAGGACACAGGTGGACATTAAGAGTTTGTGCGCTGGTGGCAATGGCCACTTATTAATGTAGAGGGCACACACAAAGAGAGAGACACAACCATCACATTTTTAAAAAAACTCAACTGTCAGTTCCCCAAATCGTCCGTGGATTCTGTCATTCTGATGAACATTAAAAGCTAACAACACTGAAAGCCTGTTAAAATAACTGGATAGAATTTCAGATTTTCTTGGACAGATATTTTCAGTCAGCGTCATTAAAGGGTTGATTGAGCTCTCAGTGGGCTCTGTTAATATAGAATTCACCTTTGGAAATTGTACTCAAAACCCACAGAGGGCAGGGAGGAGAACGTGTTAAAACCACACACCTGGCTTTGGTTGGTTTATAAGGGGTGTAAACCTATATGCATCCTGTTGCTTTTAAATGTACCTGAGGGCCTGAGCATTTGTACTGGTGATATGTGACCTGTGAACCTCTGCTAAAACCTGTTGAGGGAATCTG